CTTATTCTTTATATCTCCTCCCATGTTTTGTGTTATTGATGTCATAAGTTATATGTCTTTATATTTTGTACCCATTCACATAGTTTTAAAGTTATGGTTCTTTTTTATACTTTTATCATTTAAATTTTATTACAGAATTAAAAGTAATTTATGAACCAATATTACGTTATTATAGGATTTTATATTTGCGTATATATTTGTCTTTACCAGAGTTGGGTGCTGGCCCCTATTCATGCTGACCTGAGCCAACCTCCTGTCTATAGCACTCCAGTTCTCTGGTGCTGCAAAAGGCAGCGAGCTCTAACGCTCCACTGTCCAGGCATTGGAAGTGCGGCGGTGCCCTGTCAGTGATCAGAATCAGGCCAGACAAATACTAGTCCCTCAGGCAGCCCCACAAAAGCCAGAAGAACATTGGACACACTCTCTCTTCTCTTTCCCTTACAAGGGAGAAGCCACAAGCTGGACTTTCCCTCCCAATCACACCAAGCTGGGCTGCCTTAGGGGAAGGGCTGTTGTAGTTTATATGACATGGGTTTCTTTCCTGTTTCAACATGGCTATTCTTGACTTTGAGCCTGCCTGGGATATTATGACTTCTAATCAGTTTCTGGAGTTCTCATAAAGGCCCTTTGACCCATATACTATTGTTAAGTCAGTGTTTCTCAGAGTGGGGGGGGGTGTGGAGGAGGAAGCAAGGTCTGGTGCTTCCTATTCTGCTATCCTGCTGATGTCACTCCTGAAGAATTTTTTAAATGTTTATTTTTATGTAGTTTGCCTCATTTGTAATAACCTTATATTTCTTGTTCATTTCCATACTGGAGTGTTTGTCTCTTTATAATTCATTTGCAGGAGGCATTTCTATATTTGTCTGTTATATAGGTTGCAGATATCTTCCAGAGAGAGACAGCGAGAGAGAGAGAGAGAGAGAGAGAGAGTGTTTTAGTTTATTCTCATCTAAGTTTTAAAAAATCATCAACTTGCCCTGGCTGGGTAGCTCAGTTGGTTGGAGCATTGTCCTGTACACCAACAGGTTGCAGGTTCAATTCCCAGTCAGGACACATACCTAGGTTGCAGGTTTAATCCCTGGTGGGGGTGCGTGTGGGAGGCAACTGATCGATGTTTCTCAAATCAATGTTTTGCTCTCTTTCTTCCTCCTCTTCCTCTCTCTCTAAAAATTAATAAAACAAATTTATGATAGCAATTTGTAAAAAAAAAAAAAGTGATATCTTTGAAATGCAATAAAGTGAGTCACAGCAAAAAAAAAATAAAGTATACATTTTGATGAAAAAAATAATAAAAAAATAAAAATTAATAAAGTGTATCATTGGGTGAGGCTAAATAAATAAATAAAACCATGTTTTGAGATTTGGTATAGGGTATACATACAAATTGCCTTCTATTGATTTTTTCAAGTTCCCTTTAATAAATTTTTAAGTTTATTACTCAAAGACCCATTATTCAACATTCACCACAAAGCTAAATCAAAGTCCTTACCTAGTATTTAAATAAATGACTGTAAATGCTTTCCATGCACCCTAGGGATTCATCTGATATTTTTATATATACTTTATATACCACAAAATGCACATATTTAAAATGTACAATCCAAAGATTTTTAATAAATCATTGAGTTGGACAATAATCATCATCTACTTTTAGAACATTTCCATCTTTTGTGTTCATTTGTAGGAAATCCCTGTTTCTACCTCTAGCCACAGGCAACAACATGTATATAGATTTGCATATTCTGGACATTTTATAAAAAAATGGAATCATACAATGTGTGTTCTTTTATGACTGACTTCTTTCACTAAGCATGTTTTTGAGGTTCACACGTGCTGCAGCATGAATCAGTAGCTTGTTCCTTTTCCTTAGGAATAATATTCTATTGTATGCACATAGCATACTTCATTTATCCAATCATAAGTTGATGGATATTTGGGTTGCCTCCACTTTTTGTCTATTATGAACAATGCTGCTATAAACATTTATATACCAGTATTCATGTTCTTGAAATAAGCCATTTGTATACATTTTTTGGTGACATGTATTCCTATCTTTTGCCAGTTTTTAAACTGGGTTATTTGTCTTATTACTGGATTCTTTATATATTCTGAGTTTGAGCCCTTTATCAGATGTGCAATTTCATAATACTTTCTCAGTTTATGACTTGTTTTTTCATTTTTTTCAATGGTGGTAATATATAATTTTTAGTAAAATACCCTAATTTTTATTAAAATAATTAAAAATACCTGTTCCATTGTCAATGGTCCTTTGGATTATTTTTGGTTTTGAACTATTACAACTAAAACAGCTATGAATATTTATACAGAAATATTTGTAAATACCTATGTTTTCACTTGTCATGAGTAAAAACTCAAAAATGGAATTGGTGGGTCATATGGTGAGTTTATGTTTAACTTTATATTAAACTGCCACAGTGTTTACAAAAATGTTTATATTATGCACATTCTCCCAAACAGTTTATGAAAGATCCGGGAATTTCATATCCTTTCCAACATATGCTAATGTGTCTTACATTTTAGTCATTTGAGGGAGTTTATAGATGGTATCACAATTGTTTTTTTTTCAAGTTTAATTTCTTTTATTGCAATAAAACATACATAATAGTTATTATTTTAACCATTTGTAAGTGGTAACCATGCAGTGGCATTAAATACATTCACAAACTGCCGAAACCGGTTTGGCTCAGTGGATAAATACATTCACAAACTGTGTACCCATCACCATAATCTATACCCAAAGCTTTTCCTCATCCCCTCCAAAAACTATGTACCTATTAAACAATCACTTCACTCCCTCTAGACACTTATAACCTACTAGAGACCTGATGCATGAAATTCGTGCAAGGGCCTTGGCCCCCACTGCCGTGGCGGCCACCTCTGCCTCGGCCCCCGCCCGCCACAGCTTTGTCCGAAAGGAAGGACATCCAGTCTAATTAGCATATTATGCTTTTATTATTATAGATAGTCTGCTTTCTGTCACTATTAATTTGCCTATTCTAGGTATCTCATATAAGGGGAATCATACAATATCTATCCTTCTGTGTCTTGCTTCTCTAAGCATGATGTTTTCAAAGTCTATCCATGTTCTTGCATATATACAATTTTTATTCCTTTTTATGGCTGAATAGTATTGTAATGTATTTGTAAACCACATTTTGTTTCTCTGTTCATCTGTTGATAGGCACTTGGGTTACTATAAACTTGGTGTACAGATATCTGAGCCCCTGCTTTCATTTCTTTTGAATATGTACTTAGGAGTAGAATTGTTGGGTCTTATGGTTATTCTGCATTTAACTTTAAAAAAAAAAATATATATATATATATTTTTAATTGATTTCTGAGAGGGGAAGAGAGAGAGATCAATGCTAGAAGAATCACTGACCGGCTCCCTCCTGCATGCCCCACACTGGGTATTCGAGCCCGCAACCTGGACATCCAGGCATGTGCCCTGACTGGAAATGGAACCGTGACCTCCTAGTTCATAGTTCAACAATCAACCACTAAGCCATGTTGGCTGGGCTGTATTTAATTTTTTGTGGAACTGCCAAACTGTTTTCCACAGTGGATGTACTTTTTTCCATTCCCACCTGCAAAACACAAGGGTTCTACCTGCTCTATATTTTCACCAAGATTTGTTAGTTTTCATTTTTGTTTGTTTTTTTAAATTATAGCTATCCTAGTAGGTGTGATATTGTATCCCACTGTGATTTCGTTAGGCATTTCCCTAATAATTACTGATGTTGAGCATCTTTTCATGTGTTTATTGGCCTGTTGTACATATTCCTGGGAGAAATGTCTAGTCAAGTCTCTTGGCCATTTTTTTAAAATTTAATTTTATAATATTGAATTTTAGGAATTCTTTATACATTCTGGGTGTATGATTTCAGATATATGATTTCCAATCTACTCATTCAGTTGGTTGTCTTTTTGCTTTCTTGATAATATCCTATGATTCATAAAACTTCTTAATTTGAATGAAGTCCGAGTTATCTAGCTTTTTTATTGTTGTGCTTTTGATGTCATATCCAAAAAATCACTGCCAAATCCAATGTAATGAATATTTTCTCATGTTTTTGCCTAAGAATTTTATAGTTTACTTTAAGGGTTAGAATCAGGGGTGGGCAAACTTTTTGACTCGAGGGCCACAATGGGTTCTTAAACTGGGCCGGAGGGCCGGAACAAAAGCATGGATGGAGTGTTTGTGTGAACTAATATAAATTCAAAGTAAACATCATTACATAAAAGGGTACGGTCTCTTTTTTTTTTAGTTTTATTCATTTCAAACGGGCCGGATCCTGCCCGCGGGCCGTAGTTTGCCCACGGCTGGGTTAGACGCAAAGGATTTCTAAGTCTGAGAGCAAACACCATACCTGATAGAGCTTTCATTGGCAATAGCTTTACAAAAAATCACAAGGTGCCTTGGTCCCTAGATTCTTTCAGTGAATGACTTGTTAAGAATAAAATGCTCACCAATGAAAACAACTTTGAATTCTTTCTCATACTGAAGAAACATTTATAATGTGATTAACTGCTATTTAATTTGTCTGACTCTTTGATTTGTTTAGTCTAAATTTTGGAATATCGTTTCTTAAAATAGTCATATAAGTCATATGTGCACATCAAGTGTCTGCTGTCTTGTAAACATCCTGGTTGTGTGTGTGTGTAAATGATACACACACATGGAGCTGAGCACTTGTTCTGTGTTCCCTACTGTATATGGAGGGCTTTTTACTCCATGGGAGCATGTGACACATTACACAATTTATTGCCTTATGAAAGTTGAGAACAGGGGTTAAAAAAGAAAGTTTGTAAAATTCACCAATTTTCCATGTATTCAACTAAAATGATCTTTCCACAATGGATATAACTATAACTATAATTATGAACATGCATTTCCTAAGAATTATAACTTTTTCTCTCATAACCAAACATACATTTTGAAACTTGAGAAGAGGGCTGTTTAGTTCCACACCTACCGCCTCTGAGTGTTAAATCCATTAAGATGATTCTCTCTGAGCTCAGACACTAATGATAAAACCATCTGTAAAACAAAATCAGTTGCAGGTTAACTCGCACTGCAAACAGGATGACATCAGTTCTATTTTCCTGGTGTGAGTGGTATTTCCGTTGAGATTCCCTACCCTCTTCCGCCAGCTCTCTCCTTGTACTTTGTCAAAGTGAAAAGAGGCAGCGCCAACTTATTTACTAATAATTTGGATTTTGTGTTTACTGCCTGTTATTCTGAATTCCTACTTAAGCAGATTCCTACTTAAACAACAGACAGACCAGTAATTTCCTAAGAATTAAAACCGAACCCATTAAAAATAAAACCACGTTAGAGTTACTTTATTTTTCTTTCTTAATTTAATCTTTATTTTTTATTCATGTATAAAGCATCCAAAAGACCAGAATAGTTAAATATTGAAAAATCTCCTAACAGTTTTTAGAAGAGCTATGTTAAGATCAAAATTAAAACTTCTTCAATCTAGCTAAAATTAAAGGCAGAAGAATACATAGCTTTAATACTAAGATGTAAATATATAGTAGTATTTACAAGGTTATTACTTTTTTTTTTTTTTGCTTTAGCACAAAATTCCTATCATGCCATTTTAAATACAAAATTTGTCTAACAATGAAAGACTGTATTTACATTGGTTAACGAATTTCTTCTCCTAAAAATCTTTGAGAGGATAAATGAAATGTGTTAAGAGACAGAGAAGTTGGTTGATTTAGAATAACCTCTCCTGGTTTCCTTCTTCTTTCCCATAACCTTCCATCTCACATTTCTTCCTTACATGGCCATAAGTCCGCCCAACGTAAGAAGAGATAAACATAGAAAAGTTAAACATCTCTTCTGGAGAAGTGATATACTTCCACTTATTCTTTTTGCTGGTGATATATTAACCAATGAAAATGTTAATACTAATAAGTTAAAAATACTCACATTTTTTAGCAAACCAGGATAATAATCTGCAGGTGCATACCCAAGACTTTGAGCAAAAAGACCAACTTCTTTTATATCAAATCTGAATGCTGAAAGTATATGAGATAACAACCCCTAAAAACATGAACAGAAAGGGAAAACAGTTCTTAAATGTGAATGCAAGTGGCTCTTATGTTTAATGCCTAGAGTCAGGGTCATTTGTAAATGAGTAATCTTAATGTGCCCTTATATTCAGTTCACTCTGATTTAATGTATAAAGAAGAAATAGCCCAGCCAGTGTGGCTCAGTTCGATTTCCGGTCAGGGCACTTGCCTGGGTTGCGGGCTCAATCCCCAGTAGGGGGCGTGCTGAAGGCAGCCAATCAATGGTTCTCTCTCATCATTGATGTTTCTCTCTCCCTCTCCCTTCCTCTCTGAAATCAATAAAAATATTCATAAAAAGAAGAAATAAGTTAGTAATACAATTATTAAATTCAAAGTCAATTTAAACAAATGTTAACAGTGAAACAAAAATATATAAAGAACAGTACTTTAACCATATTGAGAATGTAATCTTTATTGGTTTTAAATTCAGCAAAATATTTTTATCAGAATAGATGATAATCAAATGACAAAAAAACACATTAATCACTAGGGAAAGGAAAGATTATGTGAAAAATAGTGCAGAGAAAACTTTGAAAAAATTAGATTCCTACCTAATGCTACTCATCAAAATATACTTGAATTTAACATAAATTCAAGAGGTCAATGTAAAAATGAAATGAAATAATAAACAAGAAGAAAATATAAGTGCTTTTCACATGTCTAAGTGGGGAAGAACTTTGTAAACTGAATATCAAGGAAGCAAATAATTGATTATTCTAAGTAAAAATAAAACCTTTTGTTTTTCATAAATTAAGTATAAACCAGGAATACTGACTACAAATAATTCAGATCATATGTAATCAAAGTAATACCCAAAATATCAAATGACAAACACTGAGTATAAAATGAGTATAAACAGATAATTCATAAGAGAAAATACAAATGCCCAAGAAACACATGATTAAAATGCTCACCCTCATAATCAAAATGGGTAAATTTAAATATCAACATACCAACATTTACTTTTTCACTTAACAAATTAAAGGTTTTACAGATATGAATACCTAATTAATACTAATCTGGGTTCTCGGAAACATTACTCAGGGTGAGCCATGGGAAGAATATAAATGAGCATCCACGCATCAGTGCTCCTGTGGCACACTGAGGCACCCACAGAGAGCGGAGCAGGTGTAACAGTCTACAGTACACCCTCAAGCTTGGACTGCCAGGGCTATGTCTGCCCAGAGGTTGGTAACCTGAACAAAGACGCCTTATAGATTGATAGATGCCTGCCTTACAGAAGGCAACTTGAGGCAATATGATAAGGCTTTAAAAGCATTCAAAACTTTTAATATATCTGGCTTACATTTAAGGAAATAAATCCCAATATGACAATGGGACTATGCTCAAAGATGTTCATTACAGTGCTATTTCTCATTAGTGATGTCCAACAGCAGGGAATGATTAATTTACAGTGTCTCACACAGCGGCTCATTGTATAAGCCATTAAAATGTTTATGAAAAATTTATAACAGCATTTTAAATGTTTATAGTATCATGTTAAATGAAGAAAGATGTAAAATTTTATACACAGAAAAGATCACATCAATATAAAAATAATCCATACATGAGAATGAAAAAATAATGAAAGTATCACCAAATGTTAACAGTCTCTAGGGTGGTGCTATATATTCTTTCTTCTTTCTACTTTAATATACTTTCCACTTTCCTATATGTGAATGTACTGCTTTTATAATCAAGAACAAATAATTCTTTTTGAAAAAGTGTTGTATTTGAAAACATTTTTTTACAACAAAAGAAACTTTACTTAAAAATACAGACATGGGTGCTTGAAAAAGCTCTTTAGTTAACTGTGTATATAAATGAAAAAAGTAATAACATTAATATAACAGACCTAAACATGAATACACTGGCTAAACAAATGGACTTAAAATGGAAACGAATCTTAAAACTCTGCTATTTTCTGGAGGAATATTTACCTTCTGTTTTTCTTATTCTTTACAAGTAAGACAGATTAAATACTACGAATATGAAGTTTCTTATATTAATGACAGACTTTACAAACAGCCAACATGACGAATGTCACCTGCGTTTTCTGTTTAACTCCACACCGACGCCCAGAGCCAGGCTCTGGGTCCTCAGGTCCCCAGCATCAGCTCTCCGGCCCCACCCAGGCCAAGGCCGCCCTCACAATGAGGAGACCCTTAGAGAGAACCGCTTCTACCGCCACATTCTTTATTAGTCAAAGGCAGGGAAGCACTGAGAAAGGGAGAGAGAGAAGTAAAATGCTATTACATAGGAAACATTTTTCTTCCCTTTCCCCCTGAAACCTTGTGGTCACAATACTGAGGACAGGCTCCTGGTCACCGTTCTTGCTGCCTTTTCCAGGGGAAACTCGATCCCCAGAGAGGGCACTCACTGCTTAATGCTCTTAAGTCTAAGGCTTCTGACAAAAGGGAGGGGCAGGAGGTCTAGGCCAGGCCAGGCCAGGATCCACCAAAGAGAAAGACAGAAACCACCCCCTCCAGGAGAGGCAGCCGGGCGGACAGAGGCGGGGACACCTGGATGAGCCGGCGCAGGCCTGGATTGAAGACACTGTGTCTTCTGCCAGAGACAGCACTCAGGCTGAGAACTGGGACTGATGGGACATTCTCTTCTTTAACAGCTTTATTGAGATATAACTCATATACCATAAAATTCTCCCATTTTAAAGTGTACAGCCCAGTGGTTTTCAGTATATTCCCAGGGAAATAGTCATTTTACATTTTTTAAATCCTGCACTACATTTTATGAGTACACTAGAAGCCCGGTGCAAGAATTCGAGCACGGGTGGGGTCCCCCTGGGTGGCCTGTAGGGATTGGGCCAAAAGCCACAGTCCAACGCTGCCTGCAGCTCCTACCTGCCGCTCCCGCTCATCCGGGCTCCACTGTGCCTGCCGTGGGCTCCCGCCCAATCAGTGGCGATCCAGAGAGGCTTGCGCTGCCACAGCAGTGCTCGCCAGCCATGAGCCCTGCGTCTGGCGCCCTCCCAAGGGGAGTGGCCTGTGGGATCGGGCTGAAACCAACTCTCCAACATCCCCCAAGGAGTCCCAGATTGTGAGAGGGCGCAGGTCAGGCTGAGGGACCCCATTAGGGCTCCAGGGCATGTCCAGCCCATCTTGCTCAGGCCCGATTGGCCAGACCTCAGCAGCAAGCTAACCTACCAGTTGCAGCATCTGCTCCCTGGTGGTCAGGGCACGTTATAGTGAGTGGTTGAGCAGCCTTAGCATATCATTAGCATATTACGCCTTTCATTGGTTGTTCTGCCTTTCAGTCTATTTGCATAGTACCCTTTTATATAGGATATTACAAGATAAAACAAATATGTGCATATAAATGTGTGAGCTCACACACAAATAGGCATGCAGACAGTCACATTGAGGGAAGAGCCCAGGGCGAGCAGCACTAATGTGTCCTGGACTCCTTTCAATTTTATCATAAACTATTTCACAATGATGTAAAATAAACTGAAAATGCTGCCCCCCCCCCCCATTAACCGTAATCATGCAATGGAAACACCCAGGAGACCTCTGTGCCGCCTCTCCCTCTCCCCACAATCCTGAGGAGTCTCCGGGAGGAAGGGTCCACTGCAGACCTGGCATGCACCCTCCCGTGTGGATTGCGGTACTTCCTCCATGAGCTCAGAATCGCTCAGTAGCCTCAAAACAGGGCTCCAGGCAACATTACCGAGGAACACAGGTTCAAACTGCTGTCCCCAAAAGAGATCCCGTCCACTGTTTTCAAATTAGCAAAGATCACAGCAAGTTAACAAAGCAGCTTTGCGATAGTACTACTCAGTGAAGATATTATGATTCAAGTTTCCTGCAGATATACATTTCCATGTAAAACATAACTTACAAAGAATGCATCCACAGGAGAGGGAGAAAAACAGGACGTTTACAGCGTTAACGTGAACTTATGAAGTCTAAGATAATGCAGAGGCTCCTGGTTAGCATGGGAAAGGCTGGATGGAAGCCACTGCATGTTAACTGTCCTTTTTTCCTTCCAGTTCAAAGATGTCCTTTATGAAAACGGAGAGCAAACAGGAGCTGACGACAGCCCAGGAGAGTCCATCGCTCAGTTATTTTCAAACACCAAGTGCAGTCTGGGTGAGAGCAAGCAGTGTGGTGAGGGCGGCAAAGCCAGGAGAGGTAAATGGCAGGCAGGGGTCATCCTTTGCGGGCGGGGCTTCCTGGAGGACTTGCCTAGTTTACCACAGCAGGAAGCACAGGTGGTGCACTCAGCAAGGGGCACTGGGCCTGACCCGTGTGGGGGGCAAGGCAGGTGTTGTGGTCAAGGGAAGACCAGCCAGGCCTCGCCTGCCATATGCCACACATCCATGTGTAGGTACCCACACCAGACCAGGCAGGGGAGGGAGGAGGCTGAGCCTGATTTGAAAACTTGGCGGCCAGGAGCTCAGTCGGGGTAGTTTGGGTCATTCTGATGCTAGATGGAGGGGGGACGGAACTGGAAGTGATTAGCCTTCTGCCACCAGACTTTTGGCATTCTATTTAAAAACAACAACAACAACAAACAAACATTTAAAGCTGTGCAGGAAGCTGTTCAAAGAAAGTTACAAATAGCAACTCATTTAATCCCCACAGCCTATAGCAGTGATGGCGAACCTATGACACACGTGTCAGAGGTGACACGCGAACTCATTTTTTTTGGTTGATTTTTCTTTGTTAAATGGCATTTAAATATATAAAATAAATATCAAAAATATAAGTTTTGTTTTACCATGGTTGCAAATATCAAAAAATTTCTATATGTGACACGGCACCAGAGTTAAGTTAGGATTTTTCAAAATGCTGACACGCCGAGCTCAAAAGGTTCGCCATCACTGGCCTATAGGGTAGGTACTATTATAGAATCTGTTAGATGAGCAAACTGGCACACACAGAGCTTAGTAACATGCCCAAGGCTGGTTACTCTAAACCACCTTAAAAGGAACCTCCCTGCATCCTCTCT